AGGTGACTCACCTTTCCAAGTGTCCTGTTTATATCCTGACAATACCTCTTGAGCCCCTTGTGGCTCGCCAAGCCCCATCAGAACTAACACAGTTAATGCCCTAGAATTGGGCTCAGTAAAGTAGGCCGTTCTAAGCCTGGCATGAAGGCACCCCAGAGCAGTGAGTGGGCTAGTGGCATCTACACATCAGAATTCAGCGGCTGATGCAAAACTTGACCTTCCTCCTCTGGGCTTTAAAACCAGGCGCTGATTGACATGTTGTATTTTTAAAGAGCACTAACTGCACTAAACTATCACTTTACCTATCATATCCTCCCCAGAAACACCTATGTAAACATCTATGTCAATGTTTAGTATATCAGCAACCTACTGTGCCAGATTATATGTATTAATTTGTTCAAAATGCGCTCAGTTGACTCACTCACTCTCAGTAGACGTTCATATAGAGACCTGCTGTGTAGTCAGTTGTGTTAGGCTGTGTAACTGTGCAATGATAGTATCACTGTAACAGTATTTTGAAATACTAATAAATACAGTAATATCGCAACTGCAGTTGTGTGCCCTTTCGACACATTTGTATATAAACCAACAATAACAAAGTGCAGAAAAATGCCTTGTGTGATCAATATACAGTATAAATGAACTGTATTCAGTTTGGTTTGTTTTAGAGGGGTCTGGGTTTGTTTGGAGCGTTCACAAAATTTTGTCCTGAGTCCCCTAAAGTGGCCAATTTCGTGACATGTCACAGATTTTTGCATGAAACACAAACACATCAACATGCTGGATGGCAGGACCACACATGTAAAATATATACTCCTCATACTGTTATTGTTTTAATATATTATTAATTAATTGTTTTTGTAGATATCATTTAATATTATTCATCAAATATATTTATTATATGTGACCCTAGACCACAAAACCAGTCATAGGGGTCAATTTTATGAAATATTGCTTTCCATTGATGTAAGGTTTGTTAGGATTGGATAATATTTGGCCGAGATACAACTATTTGAAAATCTGGAATCTGAGAGTGCACGGTAGCAAATTTACAAAATATCTTCATGGAACATGATCTTAACTTAATATCCTACTGATTTTTGGCATAAAAGAAAAATCGATCATTTTGACCCATACAATGTATTGTTGGCTATTGCTACAAATATACCTGTGCTGCTTAAGATTAGGGTTGGGAATCGAAAATCGATTCCGATTCCAGAATCAGATACTTAAGGTCAGGAATCGGATACTTGTTGTCAAATTAAAATTTCGATTCCGCCTATCGATTGCTATGCGCTTTTTTTTTCTTCATCTGTGAGGACTGGACCTAGTGATCTGCCTCGTTCAAGAACGCTGATTCATCCAGTAATGAAACAAGTACATTTTGAGTGTGTCATTGAATCATTTATTCATAAATTACATGTGATTTTGTTTAGTTGTCTAATGTGTTTTCTTCAGAATCATGAGAGAACCACAACTTCCATTGGGAAAGAAGAAGAAGAAGAAGAAAAGAAAAACTCAATTTATCCAGAATCATGCAGTTCTATTTTGCACACAAACAGCTCTTAAAGAGTCCAGTTTTTATGTAACCTGTTGATTTTTATTCATGTTATTCAGCTCCAAAAAATGGTTTGTAAAAAAGAGACACATGATAAATGATTGATATCATTATTTAATCACATTGGAATCGAAACTGGGAATCGAAAAGAATCGGAATTGATAAGCAGAATTGGAATCAGAATTGATAAAATTCAAACGATACCCAACCCTACTTAAGATTGGTTTTGGTTTTGTGGTCCAGGGTCACATATTATATAAATATATAAATGTTATATAAAAATATGATAATAATATTACAAACTTATTTTTAGTTTTAGTTTAGGTGAAGCAATGTCTCCTTTCAGTTTTTAGCAAAAAAGCAAGACTCGAAATGGATTGCATTGCAATTATTAATCAGAACTATATTATTATTATAAAGCAACTGCTGTGTGTAAAAGATGCAGTCCTTATAAATATTTTTATTATATATAAAACAATAACAATTTATTATATAAATTTATTATATTAACAACATATATTATATTTGTTGTAGTCATTCAAGAAAATTTAATTTTTTAAAATATTTTAATATTATTTGTTTGTGTTTTGTTTCAGTTTAATTTGTTTTAATTATGAAAGAAGTTTGTGTAATTTTGTAATCGTCATAAAGGGTGTGGTAATGAATGAACGGCAATACACCGGAAGAAATGGAGTGGGTCAGACACAGTTTTTGACCACTTCATACGTTTTTGTATGTGGAAAATCCCTTATTGAATTTTAATTAATGTATATTATTATAATTATACGAATTATACGAAGATAATAATAATAATAGTCGTGTCAATTGTACAGAATACAACCACAGAATAGCCACAACATTGAGCTATAAGAAAGACACGAATGAAGCATCACGACATCCCTAGTCTGTTCATTTCACCAGTGCAAATCTGTGAATGGTTTTCTGCCTTCATACCAGGATCATTAAGACAGGTTCATATGCAAGCTGGAAACGAGTATGAGAATGTTAACAGTGTGGCTACAATATAATGATTTCGCATACAAAGAGTGATGCTCAGTACAGCTCCCATGAGACGAGGCGATAAACCAGCATATCAAAACACTAAATAGAAAGCGCCATAAAATCCATTATGCCAGTGCAGGAATGAAAGGCCTAACTCTAGTTGCACTTAGTAAATGAGACTCTGCAAATGATACACCATGCAGTGTTTTATGAAATCCTGCTTTGCTGCTGTGGGGATTCTATGCAGAGACAAATTCTTTGTTTGTCTCCTGCATTTGGCGCTGCACACTGCTAAAGATGAATGCTTAGCTAACCTCATCACTAGGATTTTAGATGTGGTTATTTATTGATGCATTTTGTTGATGATAAAAGCCCTCAATTATACATAAGGGGGGAGAGGAGACAGAGGTAGTTCAGAGAATGGCATTACGGGTCAAATCTACCAGATCTAAAGTACCTCTATGAGGTAGCCGGTGCGTTGGAGGGGGGTCACTACTGTGACTCATTACGTGTGGCAGTGACTAATGCAACCTTAACTTTTAGAGAGGTCAGATGACTTATATCAAAGCCTGAGTTATAATGGGCCTTGTCATAAGATTCAGCATTCAAAGGCAGATACAAATCAAATGTTCTGCCAAAAAATGTGAATGTCAACAAATCAGGACTGAAATGATCCTCAGGTGCGATTATGCACAACATTCATACCGTAAATCAGCCTAACATCTGCTTTTTGTGATAATCATATGGGATTTAAACAGTAAATGATGACAGATTTTTCATTTTTGGGTGAACTACGTCTTTGACACAAAGGGTGTTTTAAATGCTAATACTATTTATTGAATCAACACAGTAGAAAACACATTTAAATGCGGCCGCATTAGCATGCAAATTGAGATATCCTGGAAATTGTTTCAAAAGTTCACAAGCCCACAGATTTTTGCAATTCAAATCAATCAGCTAGACTGAAGTGTTAATTTGTGTAAAAAAACAAGAAAAAGATTAACATTGGTGGGGGTTTACTGTTTTTTTTAAGGAGGCTGAATACCTACAGAGTCTGCAATTCATACACATATCTACAAGAATATACTGCATCTGTTATTATTATCACAAATTATACATCGCTGGACCAAAAAGACAAAAGTAGCAACCCTGAGAGGAGAAGGGAGAATCTATGAAAGTGCAAATGTGAAAACGTGACCCATTAGCTGCCATCAAAGAGTCAGAATGCATCAATGAAAGCCAACAGCTCAAAAATTGAACTAATTTAAAATAAATTATGTTTCTATTAAAATGCTGAAGCTGTTTCCTGTTTGTTACCTTCAAGGACAGAAAGGTACACTAAGTAAATTGTTGTTTACATTTATCTGCTCCAATTCATCCAAATAATACTAGTGGTTCTGGACTGTATATACTGACACCTATTGGCCTGGATGCATTAAATTTGCTCACTCACTGCTGACACCACTGAATCTGTTTGTGCATGTTTTGTTCTGTTTTTCCATGTTTCTCTATATTTCCTATTTTGTGACTTAGGTTGTCATTTTGTTTTTGTTTTCTCATTCATCTGGTGTGTCACACCATGGCACTGTTTTTATGTTGTGTCCGTGGTTATTAGAATGTACGTTTATATTTATGCTTTGTAAAAAAAATATTATTTTATCAGTAACACGATCAATTGTATCACACGGCTGGTCACGTGATCCAAACATAGCAGCGCCCAAGAAGGTGCGACCCGCTCTATGTAATAAAAACAGCTTTTTGTTATAATAATACTGATATGACTATTGACACCTCATGAGTGTGTATCCATTATTTCAATACTATTTCACTATGAAAGTGCTATTAATGTTAAACCGTTTTTTAAGCAAAAAAAAAAAAGACCTAGTTCACCTTCAATTAACCTAAGTCTAGTTTCTATATAAGACCGAGACGCTTATATTCAGTCTCAGTGATCTATGCTTTTATGTTCCTACATGTGAATATTAATGTGCGCTACGTGACCAGTAAATGTGCGAAAATCAATCAGACGCAACGGGGGCGTGACAGTTTCCATCTCGAATGATTTACGTTCAGACTGGAGGCTTCCCTCGAGAAAGCAAACAGCTAAACATGAACTGAAAACCCTATTGCATGATTGTCTCTGAAGAATACAGGAAGGGCTGCGTGATGCCACCTAAATCCTGCTGCATCACCGCCTCCACTGGATCTGCCTCGTTTAACACATCTCCCTCTGCCAGCCCGTGACTCAAGTTACCACCAGTCCATAGCAGAGAAAATCATCGCTATCTCAAAAACGTTCAGTCCTAAAGATGAACTGACTACATTAATAAACGCAATCGATACGTCTTAATTAGCTGTGACAATCTTTTAACAATTATTGCGTAAATAATGGCACAAAATAAAGATGCAGGTAGAAGAGAGGGAGGAAATGTAGACTTACATTTCACTATCCGATCGGTGGAGTTCAAGACCATGTCAGCGTTAGACATCTTCATGGGCAGTGGATCTCTCCAGTCGAATGTGTTTCTCCCTCCTCGCAGAAGAAGCGCTTTATTCTCGGCGTGTTTTCGCGGTGGAGAGATGCGGTTGGTGCAGTGGCATCACTCGGATGCGTCTCCTCCGTGTCTCACCGCCGGATGCTGCTGCTGCTGCTGCTGCCTATAGAGAGGGTGGAGGAGGACGATGCTGCTGCTGCTGCTGAGACTGAGACTGTCGTGAGGGGGAGGATGGAGCTGATGGGGTGGGGGCGGTGGAGAAAAGGGAGAGAGAGAGAGCTCGCTCGGGAGATCCTTTCAGCGCGTTGCACCACCCCGACATGGCGAAGCGGGGAACTCCCACGCACCCGTGTGAAGGGCCTGGTGATGCTGCCATCAGGTGGAGGTAAAGGGCTTTCCCGAAAACGCGCCGCTCGCTCATGGCCATGACTGATAATCAAGTTGAAATGCCACTCAGGTCTGTAAGAATGTATCACGCTTGTGGCATCTTCGCCCTGCCAGATTCTTAAACGGGAGTTATGAATATTTATGATCTCAATAATGACACTTTAATAAAAACGGAGAATTTGGAATTAGCCAAAATCTTCATCAAAAAGTCATTAAACAAATGTGCAGAATAGTTTACAGTAGACTAGTTACAATGGCTGTAGTAAATATTGTATCTTTAAATAAGTCTTTAAACATGTGTAAACTTTTTTTTATTGTATGTTTATTACTAAAACTATTTATTTAGTGTAAGCCTATTGCCTGTATGCACAAAGTAAATAATTAATGTAGCTTCATTTTCCTTTGAAAAATAAAGTAAGGGATTACTCTTCATTTTCTGTAATTTAATTAGTTACTTCTGATGCAATTGCATGAAATACTGTATTGAATATAGAACAATTATAAAACAATACTTGACTTTACATTAAAATGTAACGTCTAATGTTAAAATGTAGCTTGTGTTTTTAATGTAACCTTCTGCCTTTAAATACTTTGGTAAATTCAAGAATAGTTTTATATATTGTACATTTTTTATTTATATTATACAATTTTATATTATTTATTTAAAAGAACTAAAAGCAGAATTAATTTGAAAATTAATTAAAAGCAGTTTCATGTTGTAACTGGTCGAGGTTGATATGGGATTTGGCAAGTAAGTAATAAGTAATGCAATACTTTAAAGATAATTTTAAGTGCCCAAAACCCCTTTTAAACTGGCCAACAGACCAGTTAAGACCAAGCAAACCAGCTTGATTTGATAAATAATACCATTTATTACAGTTAGTGGTACTTCACATAAAACGGTGATAACTGGGTATTAGACAAAATTGGCATAAAAAGTCAACAGTTGAACAACAAAGGCTGATGGTAATGTGAGAATATGATAATCAGTTTAGTTCTATTTATTCTGTTATGTTGAATAATATTCATGCTTTATCATCTCCCAGTTGATTTGAGGAAACCCATATTCTCAATTGGACAACTCTTGGGTGCATCTAATGTAACAGTCAAACGCCAGTAGCTTTATTTTATATTGCAGTGTTAAAAGATATATAGTTGCCCCTGCGAAACCGGACATCTTTCTCTATTCGCTCTCTGGCATTTCTTTTTTCGGGCAGTCTTCTGGGGCACTCCTGCGGTGCTAGTCATGTATGCAGCTGGAGTGGGAAGCAGTGGGCAGAGTAAAACTAATACCAACCCCTCCCTCTCTCTCTCACTCTCCCAGGAAAATGCCTCTGCCTCGTCTCACGCAGAGCGAACGCAACAAAGATCTGAGTGTGGCCGTAGCCCCGGGGCAAGCGCGCCCACCACAGCCTCTCCTGTGTCACGCATTGCTGCTCCCTACCAGAGCACTCTTTCTCTTTCAGGCAATGTTCAGCCAAACAGGCAACTCAGAATTTTCTATTTTGCCGTCACTTTTAGGACACACATTTGGTATTTCTTTTAAACATCTAGTTAAAGAAATTTTCACTCAAAAATGAAAATTTTGTCATCATGTACTCGCCCTCAAGCTGTTCCAAACCTATATGAATTTCTTTCTTCTTCTGAACACGAACCATATTTTGAAGAATTTCGGTGACCAAACAGTTTCTGGTCCCCACTGACTTCCATAGTATGGAGAGAAAAAAAATACTATGGAAGTCAGTGGCTACCAGCAACTGTTTGGTTACCCGCATTCTTCAAAATGCATTACCAGTCGACGCTGATAGCCTTGTGGGCAGGGCGCCGTTACACTACGGGCGTTCAGAGTTCAAATCCTGGCTCGAGGACTTTTCCCGATCCCGCCCCCTCTCTCTTTCTCCCACTTTGCATCCTGTTACTTCTATACCAATAAAGTAAAAAAAAATTGCCAAAATGCATTACCAAATAGTTTCTGGTCCTTATTGACTTGGAGGTAAAAAAACTATGGAATTAAATGGCTAACAGCAACTGTTTGGTTACCAAACGGGCGTTCAGAGTTCAAATCCTGGCTCGAGGACTTTTCCCGATCCCGCCCCCTCTCTCTTTCTCCCACTTTGCATCCTGTTACTTCTATACCAATAAAGTAAAAAAAAATTGCCAAAATGCATTACCAAATAGTTTCTGGTCCTCATTGACTTGGAGGTAAAAAATACTATGGAAGTAAATGGCTAACAGCAACTGTTTGGTTACCAACATTCTTGAAAATGCACTACCAAACAGTTTCTGGTCCCCATTGACTTCCATAGTATTTTTCCCCCATACTATGGAAGGTTCAACTGTTTGGTTACCAACATTCTTCAAAATGCATGACCAAATAGTTTCTGGTCCTTATTGACTTCTATAGTATGGAGGAAAAAATACTCTGGAAGTCAGAGGCTAACAGAAACTGTTTGGTTACCCACATTCTGCAAAATGCATTACCAAACAGTTTCTGGTCCCCATTGCCTTCCATAGTACTTTTTGTCATACTATGGAAGTCAGGAAGTCAGGGGGTGAACTATTCCTTTCCTTCCTGATCTCTAATGTGGATACTTGAAATTGGGAAATTTAGCAATAGGAATTAAAAGCATAACATTTTACAATACGATTCCATTTATTAACTGTTAACATTTATTAACATAAACCAACAATGAAAATGCTTCAAGTAATCTTAGTTAATGTTAATTTAAACATTTCTTAATGCATTATTGAAATCAAAAGTTATATCTGTTAATATTATTTACTGGACCTATAAGCTAACATGAAGTAACAATGAACGTTTGTATTTGTGAACTAACGTTACAAGGATTATTAGTTAATGTTATAGCACACTAACTAACGTTAACTAATGGGACCTTATTGTAGATTTTGTTGTTTGTTATAGATTTAGTTGTTTTTTTACATATTATCTGTTTAGGGTCTTAGGATTCTGACAAGGGGGTGTTAAATACTGCACATGCAGTACACAATTGTAAATGTATCACTTGTATTGGCATCACAAGGTTACTTTTAAAAGTATTTTTAAGACATTTTGTCAATGTGTCCAGCAGAAAATTTCCGCCATTGTTTAGTGCAGGTTAAAAATTTTTTTTGAATTTCTACTTTTAAAAAGTATATTCAGAATGTTTATTCCTAATATTGATTGGGATACAATTAAGTAAAGTGGATTTCCTGGGAAAGTTTGTTCTGTTGTGAGACAAACAAGAATTTCAGATTACATATTGATAGATGATGCATTATGCTGTATCAGCTCAGAATTCAGTGAAATTCAATGCTTTCAGAGAACAGAGCCCTGGTGCAAAGATCATCACTTTACAACTACTGCACATGCAAGTCAGCACTGCATTAATATTCTTCAAACATTCAATTTTCATTTTTCTTCTGACTACAGATTTCTGCGATTAATTCAACTTAAACAACTTAACATACTGTCTCTATTCAAAATGTGTTTTGTACATCAGCCTTAAGTGTTTCATATTTTAAACACTTTTAATATGTTTGAAATTTGATAGTTAAAGAAATATTCTGGGTTCAATACAGTTATAATCAATATACAGTACTTATGGCATAATGTTCATTACCAAAAACATTAAACTAATCCCTCATTTTCTTTACAAAAAAAAAATATTTGAGTTTCTCTGAGGCATTTACAATGGCCATACAGTAAATAGGATTTAAAAACAGAAATATGAAGCTTGTAATTTTGTAAAAGCATTTTATTACCTTTTCTGCTAGTACTTATTCTGTTATTAATTGGTGCATTATTTGAGCTGTAAAGTTGGTTAAATCATCTTTTTTACGGTCTTTTTAGGGGTTTAGTGTTATGGTGTTGTGTCTTCTTAGTGTCATAAAATTGTATATAACTTCAAACAAAAAAAAATTTTAAATTATTTTTAATGTTAAAATCATGTTAACATGCATATTACATTGGTCTACGTCTTGTGGCTGTACTATTAAAGTAGTAAGTAGTTTGGCTTTTACAAAAATTGGCCCCATCTATTTGTTTTACAAGTGCCTCACTATTGTCAACATTTTTGCTTTTTTAAAAGAAAAAGTGGAAATTTAAAAGTGAAAAATAGAACGGTATTTATTGTTTGAATTTCTTACAATTTACACAATTTCGTAGAAAAAGAACCCTCCCTGTCTTGTCAGCAAATTGTCAGTGTCCTTTGCTCTGCGATGTATTTGTTTACTGCATGAGAACATTTCTGTGTCCGAAATGGCCCCCATTCCCTTATATAGGACACTATTTAAGGGATTTGTAAACCATAGTGGACGTTATCGAGTGCACTCAATCAATCCTAGGGGCGATTCTGAACACAGTACATGTGTGGTGTGAGAGCGCCGTGGCTTGTCAGATGTAGCAACAGT